GTGTGGATAACAAATTATGGACAACATTGCAAATAACGGAAATTCCAGAAATTTAACAGTGCTCATGAGGAACCTGTACATAGACCAAGAGGCAGTCATTCAAACAGAACTAGGGGATACTGAATGGTTTAAAATCAGGAAAGATGTGTGTCAGAGTTGCAGCCTTTCACCACACTTATTCAATCTGTATACTGAGCAAATAATCCACAAAGCTCGATGTCGTAGTTCCCTAATGCTGCTGGAACAAACATACAAGTGGATGGCTTTAACAAACAGGAATTTTAATCTCTTACAGTTAGAAGGCCAAATTCAGAGTGCCAGCACTAGGGGCTGAGTGAAGGCCCCTAGACCTTGGGCTTCAGCTTTGCCTCTTATTCCAGGCCCACAGGCAGCTGTTGAGGCTGACAAACCCAAGGTTGTCAGGTAAAATGGCACAGTCCCAAGATGAGTAGGCAACATGGCAGGCCACTAGTTCAAGTCCAGGAACAGTCCCAAGAGCTGCAGACAATGTGGCAGGCCACTGGTTCAAGTTTAGGAACTGGAGATGAAGACTCAGCCAAATGCAGGATCCAAATATGCCAAAAGCTAGAGACCTTCAAAGCTTTTCCTTATATACTGGAAGCAAACCACAACCTAAAGGCAACTCCCTTTCCACTGATCAACATCTCACAGCAGATTCCACCATGAAAGTGATTACAATTTTATCATGGGGAATAACTACATCTAGCTGCCAAGCCACTCAAAACCATGGCTCTGGAAAGTTGACACACAACCTTAACTGCTACACTGGACTACAGGAAGAACTCAGTATCAGGACTGGAGGAAGTCAATTTTGTTAGGAGACCAAATTTAATAAGGCTCAAGTTCATGATTTGAACAAGATGACTTGAATTAATTTTTTCCTATATATGGTGTGGTAGTTAAATTTGTATGTCTAGGCCTGGTTGAGTGGCTGGGCAGCTGGTGGTAGTTATTCCCTATGATGAGACTGGCCATCACCTCTATGGTGGGATCTACCACAAGTAGTTGAGTAGCTGCCTTTGGGAATGTGGTATGCTTCGTGTATATAAGGAGAAGCCTTGGGGATAGTCTCCAGCTTATGGTATGCTTTGACCCTGCATGTAGTTGTGTCATTGTTCAGCAGCTTGCCGTGCTCTGCCGACCTCAGGACACAATGAACTTGAATCAATGGCCTGCCGTGTGGTTTGGTAACATTGAGACTGTGCCACTTTATTTGTCGACCTTGGGCTTGTTAGCCTCAGCAGCCAGTAGGTGCCTGAGTGAAGAGATGCCTCTAGCTTCAGTGGGCCGGCAGCAAGAGGCAGAGCTGAAGTCAAGGTCGAAGGGCTTTCACCCAGCCCCTAGAGCCTGGCACTCTGAACTTGGACTTAAAGCCTCCAAACTGAGAGAGAATAAACTTCTGTTAAGACCATCCCATTTGTGGTATATTCCTGTCAGAGTGACACTAGGTAACCAGAACATATGGTAAGAGAGCTTTTATTTCTGAGAAGATTAGAGGGCTCTGGCTTTGATGACTAAAATTCAACAAATTTAACAATGAAGGTCTTTGTAGCAGTCAGCATTCTCCATAGAAACACCACCAACAGGATATACATACAGAGAGAATTATTTTAAGGAATTGGTTTATGCAATTGCAAGGGCTGAGAAGTATGAAATTTGTAAAGCAGGTCAGCAGACTGGAAACTCAAGCTGGATTTATTATAGTCTTGAGACAGAATTCTTTCTCCTCCAAGAAACCTCAGTTTTTGCTCTTAAGACCTTCAACTAACTGGATAAGGATCCCTCATATTATTGAGGTCAATCTCCTTTTACTTAAAAGTCAACTGACTGTAAATTCTAACCACATCTACAGACTACCTCCACAGCAACATCTAGTGTTTGACCAAACAACTGGGCACCACAGACTAGCCAAGCTGACACATAAAATTAAACATCACAGGCATCTGAAAATTTCTGTCTATCCAAACGTATTAATGACTCAATGGCTTTATTTGAGGCATCCAGTTGATTCTGGAATTTTAGTTATGCAGGACTCTCAGATATCAGAATTCTATTCAGTATTTTGAATTTAAAAAGCTAAAAAAGAAATGATAAAATATTTATCATCCAATATATTTTCTTTCCAAAAAAAAAAGTAGTAACATTTGTCTACAAACATAATTCCAATAAAAAAAAAATTCCTACTGAGGTGATGCTGTCATTTTTACACAGGTAATCTAAGGCCACAGACTTCCTCATCTAGCACCAAACCTGTTAAGTCACAGCTCCTTAATAATGTGAGGTTATTATGGTCCATATAAATATTTAGATTATTCCAATCCAGCAACTAACAACAGGATGAGCTCCGGGTCTACCTGTAGGTGAAGGGGTAGAACTGGAAATGAGATAGAAAAGAGAAAGAATAAAGGAGATACCCTGAACTAACATCCATTGAGTCGATTCTTACTCATAGCAACCCCCATTGGGTTTCCATGGCTGTAAATCTTTACAGAAGCAGGTTGCCTCATCTTTCTTTCCATGGAGCAGCTGGTAGTTTTGTACCACTGACCTTTTGGTTAGCAGCCAAATGCCTTAGCCACCACACCACCAGGGCTCCTTAAAAGAGATACTAATTGATTCAAATACTGCATTATTAACCTCTATAAAAAAGGGCTTGGCATAGCTTGAGTTACATAATTTACCACAAGTCTTTGAAACAAGGCTTTTGGAGAAACTTCACTTAGGTGATCCTTTCAATCTTAATCCCTAGAATATTGGATTAAGGATTATGCAACCGTTTAAGCATGGAATGCTCAGAGTGAGCCGCATCATCAGGATACATACATCAGTGTGTCAAAATAATACTATCAATAATAATGACACCTAACATATACGGTATTTTCAATCACCTCATATGCCTGTGAAAGCTGGACAGTGAATAAGGAAGACTGAAGGACAGCTGATGCTTAAAGTACCACGGACTGCTAGAACTAACAAATCTGTCCCAGAAGAAGTGCAGCCAGTATGTCCCTGGAAATGAGAACGGCCAGACTTTGTCTCACCTCCTTTGGTCATGTTGTCAGAAAGGACCAATCCCTGGAGAAGGATATCACGCTTGGTAAAGTGGAGGGTCAGGGAAAAAGGGGAAGGCCCTCGATGAGATGGATTGACACAGTGGCTGCGACGATGGGCTCAGGTATGGCAAGGATTGTGAGGCTGGCGCACGACCAGACAGTGTTACGTTCTGTTGCACACAGGGTCAGCATGAGTCAGAGGTGACTTGACTGCACGAACAATAGGAACAACGTTTGAACATTACTATGTGTCCAGCACTATGCTGACTCCCACACATGCAGTATCATCTTATTACACAGCCCTATAAGGTGAGTGTCACCGCTGTCACTTTACAGATTCAAAGAAGTTGAGTAACTAGTAAATGGGGAGCTGGCTATAAATGGCTAATAAATGGGAAGACTGGATTTAAATGCCAGCAGTTTGACTCTAGATCTAGCATTCTTAACTGCTATCCGAAATGATCAAACCACATATGTGAAATGCATGTCCATAGCAGAAGGCTAGACTTCCTAACACTAGATTATTTAAAATCATATAATAAGTTTCGCCAATTACTTTAAGGCCTAAAGATGCCCTGATGAATCAATACTGCCCTATGAGTATTATCTCTCTAACATCATTTGATAATTAAATTCATGACCATTTTAATTATTACTATGGGATGTTCTGACTTTAAAAGATGATAAACAGGATACAAGGAGAAGCCATACATCAACTCTTATTTTCAATTAATATGCCATTATATTATAAAAAACACAGAAAATTTTAAGTAACTGAAAAAGACCGAGTAGGTGGAGAAAAATCAATAAAGAGGGACTCCTTTATTACATATTTACAAAGTAATAGTATAATATAGTTATTAAAAATGGAGATAAATTTGTTTGGTATCTTATGTTCTGCATTAGAATTTTCTATCATCTTCACAATTTTTCTTAATTTCCTTTTTGTTACCCAAAGTGTTCTCTTACAGCCTCTCTCTGCCATTTAAGGTATAACTGAAGAATAAACTGCCCAACATGTTCTAGTGAGAGACTTACTATCAAGAGAAATTAATCCAATAACTCATGAATAAAGATTAAGTTTTCAAAAAAATATGAAGAAAACAAATGAAGCCTAATTTAATCTTTCTGATGACTCAGAAGGCACCTCAAGATTGTCTCATTTCCACAGGCTGTCTTTCAAGTGTCTATAACTCTGGTTAACAGAACTTCCAACAAAAAATGTTTCATGTGGAATTCATATAGGATCAACTGACATATGAGAATTTGATGTGTACAGATGTATTTAACTAGGGCACAATTTATAATCTAAGAAAAATTAAAGTTACAATATGAGTATTTTTAAACACATTTAGTAAACAGCTACTTGTTTTAAACTATCATTTCTTTTTTGATGACCAAATTATATCTGACCATAAGTAAAGAAAATACAACTTAAAATACAAAAAATTAAAAAAAAAAAAGGTTACAAAAGAACTCAAGGCAAGATGTCACATATACGTATTGAATGACATTAAGTTTTTAAACCCATTCTTTTTAAAAGGTCTTCAATCCACCTTCAAGTCAATTTAAAATTTTAAATTCATCTCAAGGTGCTTGGATACAAATGTAAAGTTAGCACTGATCACAGGATGGCCTAACCACGTTTCAATACTGATTAACGGATAAGTATTTTCACTTGCTTATCCTGACAACCACAGAGAGTGAGTCACATCTAATTATTTGAGTCAGATATGGCTGACTCCAACTAACCAAGTACAGACAGAGAAACGCTCAACTTAAAAAAAAGGCTGAAACAAATGATAACTAGAAAATGGCTGAATCACTGTACCTTTCATACATAATCTTACATCTTAGTTTTGCTATATACTATTTGGTACTTTTGATTCAGTAGTTGGGGTAAAAAAAAGTTTCTGTATTCAAACGTATCTACAGAATGTCAATATAAAATGTGTGGATATATACATTTAATACACACATACACACACACACAAACATACTCAGGGTTCTAGAACCAGCACTTAACCACATCCCCAATTCTCACTGATGACCTATGAATCAACTGTTACTTTAAGACCAGCTTAGTTGCTATAAGGCTGCAATATATGGCTAAAGAGGTCAAATACAAGCACACATACCCAGGCTGGATTAAACTGTTCCACCTCATGATTTCTGACAAGTAGTAATACCATTTATATAACAACTATATCTCAATAACTTAGAATTCAGAGTATAAAAAAACCAGTGTCATAAACATTTCACTCCCTTACTGTTCAAAGACCACACCTCCTTTCTTTCTATCTCCACTAATAACAGGGCACAACAAACTAGATCACACTGACTGTACAAATGATCTTTACTCTTAATCTAAACAAACATGTGTTAGAACATTCTGAAATGCTGCATCCTTTGATTTCTTCATCTTTTCAATTGCCCGATGCAGGTCCTGCTGTTGCACAGGTCGAATTTCATCTTCATCGCGGCTAAAATACAAACAAACCCACCAAATATTTAGGTAACTTTAGAATACACCTCCCTAAAATGCTATTTTTGCTAAGATTTTAAAAAATAATTTTTTCCCAACTGTATAAAAGGGTGTAACAATGAAGTCTCTTTCTCATGCAAGATCCCTAAGATAACTACAATAAACAGCTTCATAAAATTTTCCAGAAATTGACTACTTATATGACTCCTAAGGACCCATGGTGATACAATGGTTAAGAACTCGGTCGCAAACCAAAGGATCAGTTGTTTTAACCTGCCCAGTCTTTTCAGGAGAAAAGACCTGGCAATCTGACCTGCTCGGTAAAGACTACAGCCTAGGAAACTCTACGGAGCAGTTTTACTCTGTCATGTATGGTCACTATGAGTCCGAATTGACTTGACAGCACAGAACAATACAAGCCAGAGGGATTTTTAAAACATATCCGTTGCCAATAGGTAGAAAGCTAAAATAGCGAGCTATAAACATTATACCTGTGGTAACTAAAATCAAATACTTCACACCAAGAATGTGAGCACAGAATATTATAACACAGCAAAAAGGTTATATAAAGGTGCATTAGTTTATACAAATGGGACTGTGTCACTCCACTCAAGAAATCAAAAGTTAATCCCTGAAAACAAATTAAAATTCTTAGCAATTAATAAAAAATCAACTAATCCAAGTCTCCCAAACTTCAATAATGTAAAAAACAGACTCCATTATGCCTCCTTTGTAATTTCCAGAGATATCCAGGAACAAAATATTCAGAGGAAAAGTGATAATAACCCCAATCTATGAAGGCACATTTTTCATATTGAAAGATTCAGGGCTTTGAGGATAGCAGAAAAGCATGTTGTTGTTGTTGTTGTTGTTATTTGCCATCAAGTCGGCCCCGACTCATAGCGACCCCTCCTTGGGTTTCCGAGGCAGTATCACTACGGAAGTAGGATTGCCCAACCTTTCTTCCGAGGAGTGGCTGGTGGGTTTGAACTGCCAGCCTTCTGGTTAGCAGTCAAGTGCCTTAGCCACTATGCTACCAGAGCTCCCAGAAAAGCATGGTATATTAAAAAATGTAATAATTTATTTAAACAGTACTTATTTATGAAACAGGAGCTCTGGTAGCATAGTGCCTAAGGCATTTGACTGCTAATCAGAAGGCTGGCTTGGTTCAAATCCACTAGCCACTCCTCAGAGGTAAGATTGGGCAATCTACTTCTGTAGTGATATCACCTCAGAAACCCAAGGTGGGGTCGTTGTGAGTCAGATCCAATTTGATAGCAGTGAGTTTGTTTTTTTTATGTATAAAATGGTTACTTCTCCTCTTGATCTCATCCACAAGAATGAAAACCTTTGGAGGGTAGATGATCTTGGCCAATGAAGTAAGAAGTACTCTTAATTTGCTCGAATCACTGAATTCATCTGATAATAAACAACTGGAGTAAACTTCTCCACAATGGAGTCCAAGAGACACTAATAATGAAGTCCAGAACCAGGGTGTACACAGCTGCTGGTTGACAGAGGTGCTTTCCTGCAAACCTGTCGATACTGAAATTAACTTTTTAGGTAAAGCCTGCTATGGCAAACACTGCAATTAAATACATCAATACAACAGGCAAATGAGGGTCATGTGGAACAAAAAGCCTCAGGGGGCGGAGGAAGGAAGAGTGAAAAAGCCAGAAGAGTTTGAGATCTCCTTCAATACAGTCCCCCCAAATAGTCATAGTTTCCTTCATTAGAAGGCTGTATTCTAGAAGGTAGTTTCGAAATGCAGTGTAGTACTGGTTTAGGGGCAAGTGGCCTTTTGGTAATTTTCTTTAAGGGCTATGGTTCATCAGGGCTTAAATGATGCCAGTTCACTACCATCTTTGTCGGAATAAGGTTGGTACAAAATTGGTTTTCCAAAACTCATCTGTTTCATGTGGAGTCTGTTACATTGAAAAAATGGTTTCTTTGCTTAGTAACTACATTATTGTTAACGTCTGGTCCCAAGATCTCCCTGTATTTACGTGTGTAAATTCTGGAAGACGATGTACTTGTTTTCATATTAAATGAAATCTAAGATGCCAAAGTAAAAAAAATCCTGTTTTCTTAGTTGAGATGGGCAAGCCTAGGTTTCTGTCCACTTCCTGTAACATACTGCATGGATAACCAGGAGAAATTCTGCTATTATTTCTTCTCCTGTGTCACAGACTGTGTCAAACTCTCATTTTTAAAACTCTCTGATTCTATGAGATTACTAACTCATATTTACCCTTTATTTCTATAAGAAGGGCTGCTACTGAAAAGCAAAATAAACAAACCCAAAAGCTCTTAAAGGTTTTGAAAAATATCACAGATCACCTCTAAATACACATACCTTTCTTCTGATGTAGAATTAACATATTCCCTGACACAGAGGAGGGCAGCATCTCGACACATCTCTTTTAAATCACTTCCTGAAAACCCATCAGTTTCCTGGGCAACTTCTAGCAGGTCTACATGCCTATCCACCTTAAATAAATAGAAAACATGCTTAAAAAACAAATATAAAATATACTGCAAAGGACACTTTCAAGTACTTATTTTTCCTTAAAGTTAAGGATGTCATAACAGTATGGGAAGTGAAACACTAAAAAACATTTTCCATTTCTGTTTTTACCATGAAAGGTTAGATATTATAAACCTAATTTTCATTGTCATAGCAGAAGTAAGTCTCACTATATACTATGGTGGGATAGAGAAGAACAAGTGTTCAACACTGTTGGATTCACGTTGGCATTTCTCAGGAAGATACGGAGTTGCTATTTTTCTATAACAAATTCAACATATTTTGAAAATAGCCCACATCAAGTCCCAAATCCTTTACAAAAAACACACCCCACTAATTCTTATGTATTAACTGTAATGTTTTATTTAAAAAAAAAAAAACAAAACTGTAATGCTTTTGTATTCTACCTCAACACTAGTTCAGCACCTCGAGTTTGGCTTCCAAACCTAATCTTATGTTACTGCTGTGCTGTCAAGTCAATTCTGACTCACAGTGACCCTGTGTGCAACAGAACAAAACACTGCCCGGTCCTGCACTGTCCTCACAATGTTTCTATGCTTAAGCCCTTGATGCAGCCACTATGTTAATCCATCTCGAGGGTCTTCCTCTTTTTGCTGATCCTCTACCAAGCATGATACCTTTTTTTCAGGGTTTGGTACGTGAGATGAAGTCTTGCCACTCTTACTTCTAAAGAGCATTCTGGTTGTGCTGCTACCAAGACTGTTTGTTCTTCTGGCAGTCCATGGTACATTCAATATTTTTCACCAAAACTATAATTCAAATACAACTTATAGTCGAGACGATTAAAGTGATCATCCTAATCATGGAACAGGCTTGGGATAATATCATCATCATACTAAATTTACAGAATAAGGGTAGAAGAGAAAATAAGCATGAAAAAATTATTTGTATCAACTACCAGGAATTAAACGTGCTGTACACTATGCTAATAGTAAGTACTTCATGTATATTATTTAATTTAATCCTGTCAGATAACTTTTCATTTTCAGATAAGAATGGTGAGACCTGGAAAGGTTAAAGAAGTTGCTCATGGTCACATCACTGCCAGCACCAGGGACTGAACACAAGTCTCGCATTTATTTTCATAGAAATAATGCAGTAGAGTTCTAGCTGTATTTTTGCCCCATGGTCAACCATTTGTCTTAGCAACATTTACTCTTCCCCAATGATTTGAAATGCTACCTTAATTAGTGACAGTGGCATAGTGCTTAAGGCATTTGACTGCTAACCAGAAGGCTGGAGGTTCAAACCCACCAGGCACTCCTCAGAAGGAAGATTGGGCAATCTACTTCTGTAGAGATACCGCCTTGGAAACCCAAGGAAGGGTTGCTATGAGTCGGGACCAACTTGACAGCAGTGAGTTTGGTTTTTGTTTTTTGGTTGTTAGGTCCTTATTTGTGAATCTGTATACTTGCTAACATTTACCTGTAATGGTTTTTTTGGGGTTGGTTTTCAAGATCAACACTTGTGGCAGCTTCACAATCATTCACAGAAATGCTCAGTGATGAATTTTTGTAGTCTATTCAGTGCCACATTTTTCGCATTTTTGTGCTTTTGTTGGTGATTTCATTGTTTAAAATGGGCCCCCCAAGCATAATGCTAAAGTGCTGTGCAGCATTTCTTAGTACAAGAAGGCTGTGATGTACCTTACAGAGAAAGTAAGTATTGTTAGATAAGCTTCATGGAGGTATGAGTTACAGTGCTGATGGTCAAATTCACTGTCAGTGAATCAACAAATATAGTAAATAAAACAAAATTAGGTATTAACAAAGCTATAAAAATGGCATGGCCAGAGACTTGGAGAAACCTAATTCTGTATTTCCCATAGGAGCAGTGATTCAGGATCTGCTAATGCACTGTTCATGGCGAATTTATAGATGATTAATGTGAATAACAAGAATTATCTGCACTAAATTTTTGTATTTGAGAAGATCCAGTGTTTAGTAAGATGACAACTCTACACGAGGACTATAAATTTGGTAGTGCCCATTCGGCAACTGTGATCTCACATTAGTTTTCTCATTTCTAACTGTGATGGTTAAATGAAGATAAAAATATATATATTCTTTGATAAAAGGGAAACAAAACCTAGAGGGTGTGCAAGCAGCAAAGATAAGCAAATAAAATGGTAAACATACAGATCAATCTGAATAAGCATTAATTACATAAACAGTAATAATCATTTAATCTGAAGTAGAGAAAGGAGAAACTAAATGCTAGATAATAAGAACATGTAAAATAGAAGGGGAAATGTACATTTAAGGCATTCTGAGGTCCTACAACTACAGTACCAGAAAAAGGGTAGAGATAATAACTTTAGACTTTAAGTATCTGTGTCAAAAGTGTAAGGATACCACTAAAGGACAGGAAGCAAATGTATAGCTTCTACGCTACAGAGGAAAGGGGGGGTGGGGAGAATATAAGAGAATACAAACAAAGGCAGAACTGGAGGGGAGAAACCATTATACATGAAAAGCACTAAACATAAGAATGAATCCAAATTTATCAGTCATTATCACAAATGCAAACAGACAAAACTAGCCTTGTGAAAGGCAAGAAGAGACTTTATAAAATACAAACAAAAAACCCCATGATATAGCTATTTGAGGCTTGTAATAGTCACACTTATGTTGAAAGACAAGAAGAAAAACATGCTCTATGTTACATTCGAAAGGAAAAAAATAAAATTGAAAGTAAAAGATTGAACGAAGATATTAAGCAACAGAAAGCTAGAATAGTTCTATTTACATTTTATCAAACAGATTTAACTCAAAGTGCATAACAGGGATGGTGGTGGTGGCTGTTATGTGCCGTCGAGTTGGCCTCAACTCATAGCGACCCCTCCTTGGGTTTCCGAGGCAGTATCACTACAGAAGTAGGATCGCCCAACCTTCCTTCCGAGGAGTGGCTGGTGGGTTTGAACC